AGTCTAGTTGTGGAGGACGTTGCTTCACTGGCCCAAGTTGGCACCATCATTGCGCTCTTCCCTGGCGAGGCAGATCAGTTGCCGGCTTCTGGACGCTGCTCACGCTGGCTGCTGGCTACACACGGTAGCTTATGGCAGCCCACTACATAAGGGGACTGCAGCCCACGCCATCGCCGCAACTCACGGCAGCCCAGCTCCAAGTCGAGCTGTTGTTCAGCATCTTAGCTGTAGAGGGCCGTGTCACTGGCCCTCATATGTGGGATCCGAACCGGGGCCCCCTGGCGTCCCAAGCCAGTTCTTAATCAACGCGCCACTCAGCCGGCCCTTAACTTATATCTTAAATGTACAGTCTGTAGTTGATCTGATTCTCCCCAGGAGCTGAAGGTTGGGGAGATTTTTTAACTGGGTCTTGGGAGACAGTGTGATATCCATATAGAATCCTTTTGGTTGGTGAATGATTTACTTATTTAATGGACACTTAACACATACATAAGAGCTTTCCAAACTAATTTAATTCTTATAACAATCTTATCAAATATGTACAATTGTTATCACCATTCTCATTTTACAGATAAGAAAACTGAGGCACAGAAAGGCTAAGTTGCTTCTCCAAGGTCACACAGGTAGTATGTGGCCGTGATGGGACTTGAAGCTAGGCAGTATATAGGCAGTCCAGAATCCTTGTTCTTGACCACCGTACCAAGCTGCCTCATGCTCTTGGTTTCTGCTTGCTGTGTCTGCAGGTCCCTGCTGATACTGGCTACCCTAGGTGAACTTGGGGTCCATTCTCCAACAAAGCCAACCCCCATCTCCCAGCACTAGCTTCTTCCCTTTGCAACTTGCTCCTCATTTCCCCTGTGTTCTCACTGGTGCAGACCCCTGATCGTCCCCCGAGCTGGCTGCAGGTCACCTTGCCCCAGGGCAATGTCACAGCAGACTCCTGGCTCTCAATGAGAGCCATGCTATGTGGAAACTGTGGGGACTTGGGAGAACTCAGCCTCAGAGCCTCTCTCTGCCTACCGAGGCTTGACCACCAGGTTCGTTTTGACATGGCTGCCCTCAATTTGGTATAAAACTGCCTTGGAGGCAGCCTCATCCCAAAATCTCAGTGGAGAGTGGGTTAAGAGCCCCTCTGTGCTTGCCGTCACACTCATTAGTTAATACACCTTTCCCGTTCCCATCCAAGACCTGGAGAGGAGGGAAAAGCATGATGCACTTCTGATCTTCCTCTTTCATCTTTCCCCTACCGCTGGCAGGCAGGTCAGAAAGGGGGTACCTGCTACTCTTTTATTGCCTTAGAGCTGTCCTATCGGTCCCCTGCTCTGTTCAGAGAGGACTCAAAGAGCTGTTCCTTGAGTCTTGGCTTTGATTTACTAAGGAAGGAGAATTTGGAAGGATATGAAAGAATCTCTTAAGTCATGACTAGTTTCTTCAATTATACAATGGGACAACACTTTGAGGCCTGGCCCATCATAGGCCCTCAGTGTATGGTAATTATTTATTACTCTCTAATCCCAGAACTTTCATACTTCTTTGCCTGCATGTAGGAAATATATTTTACACGTGACTTACATACAGGCACATATTGTACACAGCTGAAACAAAAGCTACACAAAACAATACTTATTATCACTTAATGCAATGCACCTGATAATTTTAAATATTGTTTTTAAAGGAAAACACTGGTGGTAACCCATGACCCCATCTCCAAACAGACTTACTTGTTTCCTTCTCTGTAATCTATAGGGCCCTAAGCAAAGCTCAATGATAATATTTCTCACATTGCATTGTCATTTACGTGTCTTTCTCTCTCACCAGGGAGAGGCTTTGTCCTTTTCATTTTTGCATCCTTAGCACATCCATGAGTAGACACATTCAGTAAGTGTTCATTGAAGGGGTGAATGAAAAATCCACAGCACAGGCCAGTGGTTTCTCTTATTGTGGCATACATAACCTAAGTCTGCTGTTGGGGAGCTCAGACCTTGTCAGTGAGCTCTTTTCAGGTCAGCTCATTAGGGCAGGATTCCCGCACAAGTTAATACATACACCTCCTACAGAAAGGACTTCAGTGTGCAAAGAATGAAAACCCAAGGCTTTGACTATTTCCCTCCTTTGGATTTTCTTCCAGAGCTGACTTGTTTGCAAACCTGTGCTAGAGTGGCTGTATGCCTTCCACGATAATTTAGTAATATAAAACTGACTGTGCAGACTCAAAATTCAGGGCATTTGGCATTTTTGCAAAGCCAAACTCTAGGAAACATTCCCATTGCTGAACACATTGGATGTGGTTTAGGTAGCAAAGCAAATGACCTAACAAGGAATATATGTGCTGAGCCTAGTTCCTGTTAAATTAATAGATTCACGTTCTGGCACATCCACAACCTCACAAGTCATAGCAACCAGATGACGGCATGGCAACACAGCTGCTGCGGCCACTGCACACAAGAAAAATCAGAATCTAGTGTCTCTGGAGGGAAAACAGAATAGAGCTCTGCAATTGCCAGCTTATGCAGGAATGGCCGAAGGGAGAGAAACATGGGGGACCCCACAAGTAGATACCTGTCCTGGGATGAAGGGGTAGAACATCTTTCCTGCTTCCAGAAGTTTGTTTTATGTTTTTAAAGTAAATAATTTGCTCCAGTCGGAGAGGAAATGATGCCGAGAGACAGATACCATCAGGTGGACAGAATGTTCTTTGTAGCCCTGGAAGCAGCGTGGAGGCGATTCTTATCAGATAGTCCATGGCTGGCTCTTCTGCTGCAGGACCATAGCCTTTCTTTCTAATATTTAGACCCTCTACTGAAATCGCCTATCCTTTCTGGCTGCCCGGGTTGAAGGCTCTTCTTTCAAGTTCCCCTTCTATGACTATGGCCTGACCCCATAGTCACTGATAGTGCTGAGGCCTTGGAGATCAGGGTAGATGCCCCAAGGAGGAAGAAGAAGACACCTGGGCAGATATCAATTCTTGTGACACAAAGACATCTGTATGTACTCCCAGGTTGGTGACGCCCAATACCAGGGCTGCAGCCCACACCCTCTGACCTAGTTTAAATTCAAGGATGACCCTTACTCTGCAAAAGGAGTGAGGGCTGGGACTTCTTCTGTTCTTAGGATTTATGTGTTACACGTAGGTCTGATCCAGGAAACTGCCTCTTTCTCCATGTTCTGATTTCCAAGTGAGGAACCAGGAAGTCTGTGTGGGGTTGTCATTGGGCCCACAGTGCCTTCCCTTTGGGCCTGTGCATTAATTATCTATGGCTGTGTAACAAATTAACCCAAGATACAGCCGTTTAAGACAACAAACACTTATTATCTTACAGTTTCTGTGGGTCAGGAATCCAGAAAGCTTAGCTTGATGCCTCTGCCTCAAAGGCTCTCATGAGGCAGCTGTTGGCTAGGGTCGAAGGTCTCATCCGAAGGCTCAGTCGGCATGGCGAGGGGTATCCCTTTCCAAGGTAACTCATGTCGTTGTTGGCAGGATTCAATTCTTATCTACAGGGCTGTCTAGGTTGTGGTAGCTGGCTTCCCCCCAGCGAGTGACCCAAGAGAGAGCAGGAAAGAAAGAGAGCACCCAAGATGGAAGCTACAGGTTTATTAAAAACCTAATCTCAGCAGTGATATCAGATGACTTCTGCTATATACTATTGGTTAGAACTGAGTCCATTTGTCCAGCCCACACTCAAGAAGAGGGGATTACATAAGGGCATGAATACCAAGAGTTAGGGGATCATTAGCAGGGGGCTGTCTTCAAGGCTGCCTACCACAGCTTCCACACTTTGTGGTATGCCAGCAAAGGTTACCCTATACAGAGACAAAGCAATGCATGTGTGTGCATATACGTGTCAGGCCTTCACACACTTACACTTCGGCTAATTACTCCTGGGCATGCAGAAATGTTGAATATTCATGAAATTGTGACCAAAAATTCGGAATCCCAATACTGAACAAAGAAATATTTTGCTCTTGTTCTAGCATAGAATATGGAGTATCACATGATTGTTTTTGGAAGTCTGGGTGACATATTCTCTCTGTTTGTTCCTCTTGATTATGTCATTGCTTCCCTTAAGCAGAATTCATTACGGAACCACTTCTATCTATTCCAAAATTGAAACGGGCAATCCCTCCACCATTTTAATCCAACAGTACGATGTCATAAAAACTTCAGAGAATTATAACTATTGAAAGTCTAATAATGCACTTATTTCTCAAAGCAATATTATTTTTTCTTACAGGATACATCTTATATTTATACTGTGCCATTAATAATGTCTCAGTAGAAATAAAAACTGGCGCATAAGGGCTGCAGTGTGGGGGATTTCGTGTTGCTAGGAGAGCTCTGATCCTTATACTGCCAGTCTTGGGTGAGTCTGCGTTTGTGGCTTTCCAATTCGGTATTAACGCAGGCTTGTAGATTATTTCCCAGATGACACTTTCCATTAGTTTCACATCCACCTTACTGGACAAAGACTTCACTCAACTCTATGGTTTCCTGTGCTTTAGTAAAAAGATGAAACGTTGGAACGGGAGGTTCTGTGATCTGGTCAATGTGCTAGTGAAAGCAGTATTTGGGGAAAAAAGGAAAATTGTTGAGCCCTAACTGATGCTTTTGAACTACTTTTAAAAAGCTCCCTGTTTTCCACAACAAGCTACAATGAAGCTAATGTTTCTGTTATGAAAGCCCTCCACTGCAGTTTCAAATGTCTGCTTGCTTTTTTTTTTTTAAGCCACAGCAAAGGCTAACTCTGTTTTTCTCTCCAGCTTTACGGGTCAGGAATTCTTCCCTACAGACTGCTGTAACTATTTTGTTGCTATTTATCAGAAATAAAAAAGGTGTCTTTCCGTTGTTGTAGTTTTTAATAAAGTGAGCAAATTTATTTGGGGCAACGATAAATTTCAGAATGACTCTTGCCCGAAGCTCCTCTCCTCAGGACTCCACCCTACGCTCTAAGTCACTTTTGGCCCGTGAGCAAACACAGAATGCATCAGGCCCCACAGAGATCTGTGTTGAGTGTAAAGGAAGAGGTGGAAATTGCGGAGGATTAGAATAGAAACCATTATGCTGCTCCCACTTGGGCTGCGAATAGACCCCTGAAGAATGGTATGTAAACGTCCTGCACACTTAACACCAGTGGAAATGACGAAGGACAAGCGTGCAAACCTTTTGAGGAAATGCGGGGAGAAGACCAGTGTTTTAAGGCCTTGCTTAGGCGTTACTTGGCAAAACACAGCACTATCCTTTCTGACATGATCTTCTAGCTTAATACCAAACTGAAAAACTTTCTCTTCTTCCTCCCCCCACCATTTTGTTTGTGGGTTGGATGTGTTTCTCCTGGAACCCCAGCTCTCCGGTTTCCCTGAACCCCAACATCACCTCCAGACTCAGCGGGAGAACAGGCTCGGACCGCACTTCTACCGCGCAGAAACAACGCGGCTGGAGCGAGCTTTCCCTAGAAGGGTGCAAACTCGGCGGACGGCTGCCGCTTCTCCCTGCAGCCCAAGGAGCAGAGCTGGGGAGACTGCGCCCGGGGCCCTAGACTTGCTTGCGGGCGGCTGCAGGGCCCGGCGCGCCACCGCGCGAGCTGCTGGGTTACAGCCCGGTCCGCGCCGCCCGCTTCACGAGGAAGTGACGACTGCGCCGTCCCGACAGCAACAAAGTTTGAGTCTGCAGGCCGTGGTCGTCCCCGCCCTGCACCCCTCAGAACGACCGCGGGATCCAGCGCACAGGTGAGCCGCGGGCTCGGCGGCCCCTCCGCCGCCAGGGAGCCGCCCTGGGACTAGTCAGAAACCGTCCGGGCCGTGGCTTAGCCGCGCGGGCGGGGATGCGGAGGGCCCGCCGCTCTGGGCACCGGGATGCGGCGGGCGCTGCCGGGAGGGAGCTCGGTGGCCGCTGTCGGAGGCCTGGGCTGCTCCCCAGTCGTTGCTAATTTGCTGCGGGACTTAAAACAGCCTGGGCTGCAGGCGGCTCCAGGCTCCTTTCACGAGAGGGGGGGTGCAGGGAAGGGGCTTCCCGCAGCCTGCGTCCGGGGTTAGTCCTCCGACGCGCGCCCCCAGCCCAACAGGCGGGGCACCGCCGTCCCCAGCCCCTGCCTGGTACTTCCAGAGGAAACGTGCCCTTCCTCTTCGCAGCCCCCAGTGAGGTCGCAGGAAGGAAGTTACAGGAACTTTCCCCCCAACTTTTCTTTCCTCGGCCCTCGAGGGACGAAGAGCAGACCAGCAAGTCGGAAGTTTGGGACAACCACCCTCGGTATTTCCAAAAAGCAAAACCAGAATTGCCCTCAAACCCCTTTCAAACAAATCCCTCCTAACTCCCCACCCTTTCTCCTCCCACACCACGTCCCGAACCTGACAGTAATCACTAAGGCCTAACACTTTGCAATTTAGCCATAAAAACTGTCAGCACACCCACGTACATATGTGAGTGTTTTCTATATAAAACTCCGAAACCTGCTTCCAATGGACTCCGTGGCATGTCGCTCTTTTCTGTTTTCTGAAACTGCTGGGGCTGCAGGAATGTGCTGGGGAACTTTGATGGTGATTCCCGCCGCTCTCGGTAGCCTCGTGGCGCAGGGTTTTTAAAAGAACAGCTGAGTTTATGACAACCCTGCAAAGTAACCCGGGGTTGGCGGGCCGGGCAGGTGGCCCCGGGCTGGAAGACTGCAACTGTAGCAACAGCGGCCGGGCAGCTGCAGGGACGTGTTGGTGTGTGCAGGAATGTAAGTCCGTGCGGTGGAGACTCCGACACGGGATGGCTAGAGGTTGAATGGTGCTGTTCCTAGCAGCAGCTTCCTGCCGGCCTGTAATTACAGCGCGATTGCACAGTCAGGCATTGTTGGCGTGGATGTTTATACACAGGCTATTGTGCAAGACTTCGGGGGCAAGGAACAAATAGCAGATTTGCATTGCAAATGCCCAGGACAGATCTGGGCTTGAGTTGCAGTGGCCAAGTTCTCTTTGGCCTTTAACCTTAGCTAGGTGATTTATTTCTTTGCCTTTTCCTTAACCGAGGACCTTGGAGGGCAGGATCCCTCCACTCCCACCTTAGGCAGCCTGAAAACTATCCCAGGAGCTGTACCCTTATTCGTGTCTGTAGATAATGTGGGATGACGTCAGCAGGAAAAGGAGATGGGAGATGGGAGATGGTTATCAGTCTCCCTAAACAGGAAAGCAGTTTGGATTATCAGAATTGCACAGCGGCTTGATTGGGGCCTGGTTGCAAAGAGGACACATCAGACATGTGTGACTGAGCTGGCTGGCGAGCTAGACTTTGAGCCGTGAAGTGTCAGCTGCACAAACTTAGTAGGTGGGTCCGAATTCTTTTATTGTGTTCTGGGCAAAGGAAAAAGTGCTGGGGCTTTGAGACTGTGTGTGTCTGGGGTGGGGGTGGGGGAGGTAGAGGCGTGACTCATGTACATTTTCACCAGCGGAGCCCCCAGATCCACTTCCTGAGCAAGGCCTACTGTACAGGCCAAGGTGGGGGTCCTCACGCCCAACTGAGCTGCCATGCTGCAAGTAGGGAGCTAAGCCTGCAAGTGTGGAAATAAGGCAACAGGCTCTCCTTCAGGGCTTCAGAGGTGGCTAACTGTAATAGAGGGATTTAAAACACAGTAAAAAAGCATGTACATGTTGCCTGCAGAGCCACTCTTCTCACATTTCAAATCTCAACCCGCTGTCTCCTTGCCCTAGGTGAAAGACTCACAGGGCAGCACCCAGCCCTGCTGAGAGTACTGTATAAGGGTAGTGTGGGCTCGGTGGCACCACCCCACTGCAGGGCTTGGGCAGCCTCTCAGAGTGGCAGGTACCGATGGGCCTGGCACACTGGAGTTCCTCTGTGTCTAGCCTTCTCCTCAACCAAGTAACTGAGTTTCACCTGGAAGGAAAATACTGTTTTGCAGCCTTGTGTCAGCTGTGTGTCATGGGCACAGTGACCTTTCATCAATCCAAAACAGTAGGGCACAGTCCCTGGCAGACACCTTTGTGCTTCCAGAGGGAAAACATGTGTAATTAGAACATTTCTGGAAATTCTGGGATGTATGGACACAGTTGCCACAGAGGAATGAGGTTTAAAGCAAAAACATGACCATGATAGGAGTTCCCGTGAGTTGCACAACCCCTTGTTCTGGGTACATTTGGGTTTTTACTGGATTTGACTGTCAAGATCCTGGTTAGCTGGGCTAACCAGGGCTGACCTGGGCTGCCTTACTAAGGTCTACTGGGGCCCAGCGCTGGTCGTGAAGGACGGGATGGGAGCAGTCCCTTCTGACCCCAAAGGAAAGACAGCTTTGACTTTGCAATCCTTTGTTTTTATATAGAACCTGCAGAGACTAAAAGTGTCCAAAGGCCTTCCAGCAGTGGGGGCAGGAGAGCAGAGGAGAGGGATCCCTTGCAAAGGCCAGAGAAAGAAGGAAGCCGACTCCCTGGTTTTGTGGAGCCACCTGGAGCAGTTGTCTGCCCATATCTTCAGTTCAACCTGCCTGGGTTTTGTGCATAACTCAGGCCCTGCCCCTGGCTTGCTCGGCTTTGCCTCTGTATGAGCTTGTCCTGCAGTTGGTTGTACACAGCTCAGTTAAAGGCCGGAAACGTAATCCTGACTTCCTCTCCCACCTTACGTAAATGCTGGTTTATGGCCTGAAGTTGCTGCCCAGTTCATGCCCTTCACCCCCTCCCAGCAGCCCTGTCTGCTGCCTCACTATGCACAATTAGGAGCAATATTGAGAAAGCTCTGAATCAAAACTTGACAGATTTAAAAATCATTTTATTGTCTTAAGGGGAAAAACAGTTGGAGGTAATTAGGGAGCTCAGCAACTCTGGCAAAAACTCCAAGGTACCCCTGAGAGAGGCAGATGGCGAATTCTCCTGCAAAAGAGTGGTTTTAGAATGAGGCCTTTTATGCTCTCTAGGTCCGATATTTATATTTCTGTTCATCAACCAGTCTCTTTCCAGCTGCCTCGCTCTCTACACCACAGTCCGGTGTTTTGACATCTCAACTAACCTCCAAAAAAGGAGGCAGAACACCCCCCAGCCAAAAGAGGGCATTCCAGGCTCTGAAGAAAAGTGCTGCCTTTTTCCAGAGGCCTAGCAGGTCTGTCCTGCACATTTGTTTCCTTCTTTAAAATATGCTCCCCCCCCCCATTGCTCTTTTTCACTGAAGCATCTCTTTGTGAGACCCTTCAACCTTTTTCCCCCCTCGTCTACATGACACAGGGCACTGCTTTACGACTTTATGTCTCAAGCCCACTTGAAATACACACAGGGCTTTGAATAAGGCTGGGATAAAGGGCTCCTCTGTAATCTCACTTAAAATGCCTGTTTGCAAGGGTCATCCTACTGCTCAGTAACCTTCAATGGCTCCCCACAGTCTGCATGGTAAGGATCAAGCTTCTAGGCTGGCAGTCAGGGCCTTCTACACAGGGGTCTGGCCTTAGCTGCTCTCCTGCCTGAACCTCCGCTCTGACCCAGTGACCCACTCTGTGTTTGTCCAAACTGCTGGTGGCAGCATTCCTACCTTCCATGCCTCCCTGGAAGCCTGGAATGCCTCCTCTTTCCTCTCTTTCACTTGGCTCAGTCTCGCTCCCCTTCCAGTTCTTCTGTTCACGTTCTCCTCCAGAATCCCCCTGTCCCACCTTGTGGGCTTCCCCTCCTCCCCCCACAGCTGGGGATTTTAGTAACATCCACTGGAACTCCAACCTGAAGAAAACCTTAAAACACAGTCCAAGGATTTTTAGCTTCTCCTTTGGGCTGTGGGCTCTGATCATACCCTTTATTCAGCTTCTTCTTCTTTTTTTTTTTAAAGATTTTTATTGGGGAATTGGGGGGATGGGAATAGCTCTGGGGAATTGGGGAAGGGTAATAGGCAAGTTGCTGTCGTTTTGTTCTTCAGTCTAGTTGTGGAGGGCGTCGCTTCACTGGCCCAAGTTGGCACCATCATTGGGCTCTTCCCGGGCGAGGCAGATCAGTCGCCGGCTTCTGGACGGCCGCTCACTGTGGCTGCTGGCCGCTCGCTACACACGGTAGCCCATGGCAACCCACTGCCACAGGGGCTGCAGCCTACCCCGTTGTTGGGGACTCATGGCAGCCCAGCTCCAGGTTGAGCTGTTGCTCAGCATCTTAGCTGTAGAGGGCAGTGTCACTGGCCCTCATATGTGGGATCCAAACCGGGGCCCTCTGGCGTCCCAAGCCAGTTCTTAACCATCGCGCCACTCGGCCGGCCCTATTCAGCTTCTTAAATGTGCCTTTGGGTAGATCAGTATGATCGCTTTTCAATTAAACTGGAAGTCCCTGTTTTATGTCTTTGTGTCCCTGGGCCTGGTGCTCCACTCATAGCAAGTCCCAGTAAATGATGATGATAATCATATGTATAACAATATTGTCCGCTTGTGCATAGCCAAGCACCAAGGACTGTGGTTCCCGGTCTTTCTGAACAACCCAACCCTGCCTCCTTCTGCCTGTTAATCTTTCTTTGGCGACCTTCTGGCTTTGCACCTCATGTTCTGCTCCATTTCCAGCACCCCTTCCCCCTGGGTGCCAAACAGGGTCTGTCCATCTTCTGCACTGGCTCGTCCTTGTCCTGATTTGGGCCCAGTCGACCTGCCCCACAGGATCCTATGCCTGAGCACCAGCAATCAGGGAAGAGCGTTTATTGCCTGGGTTGGCCTGGCCTCTGAAGGGAACCAGACTGATAGAAGGTCTCAGGCAAGACCTGTGAGGAAGGCAAAGAGATGCTTCCT